GAAGGGAGAATTCTGGCCTAGCTCTGAAGAGATACGGGGCTTTATGAGAGCTCACCAACATAAAGAATTGAACAGAATGTTGCCAAAACTAGGCTGCCTGCAAATGCCAAATAATAAGAATCCTTTATCAGGAACACTAGGAACCCTTTCAGGAGAGAAGCATAAAGAATTCCAGGAAGCACATATTCAAAGCCTGTTTCCTAGGCAGCTGAAGCCACCCACCTTCCCTTGAACAAATGGAGCCAAATTCAGTTCTCAAATGTGCCATTTGCCTTGCCTCTCAAAACACTCCCGAGAGTTCAGCTGGTATCTTTTGTTTTCTGAAAGAAGGGTTTGATGCTGCTATCCGGTCATTGGAAATCTTTTAATTCCAAGCCCTGTCTCCCAACTGCCCCACCTCAGCCCTTAGCCCACCTCTGTAGCAGCCTCAAGCTTAGTTGTCACTCCAGTGAATGTGGAAATAGAACACATCAGCTGATCTCCCTTGCAGTTCTTTGAAGTTCTGAGATCTGAACACAACCCCACAGTGTTGGCTTCAGCCTGCTCTAAAGGTTAGATGATGCATGCCTATAAAACCCTTAAGATAGAATCGGGCACAGAGTAAGCACATACCCGGATGTTTGCTACTATAATTAATACTTTTATTATCTTCTCTACAGTATTAGGCTAAATGTTCCCTATGGCTTCCTTCCAAGCAGAGGTTATAAACCCAAAATTTGGGGGTTATGTGAATTAGAGAAACTGCCAGGAAGAAGACTAGGAAGAGGTGGGGCAGCGTCACCTGGGGCACACCTGCGCCCTTCCATCAAAAATAAAGCATTTGAAATCACGCGTTTGGAAAACACTATGAAAAAGTCAAAATCAAACCAAAACAAAATAAAAATTACATCTGACTGGTGGACTGCCAGTTTGCCAGGCTTGCTCTAAACATTTCTTACAATCCCCATCCCACAAGGCACTCTAGTCTCAGCGGGAAGGGATGGTGTTAGGCTGCATGCTTGCTGAGGAGTGCCCCCTGCCAGGCTTCTTGGGAAGCCAGTAGACCCTGGAATGAGCTTTACCTGGGTGGGCTGGCCTCTCCACCCTGGCCCACCCATAGCAACCTCTGGTAAACTCCTTTCCCCTCTTGAGGGCTCTGAACTTTATGACTGGGTAGTGGCTTTGGTCTTGCCCTGTTTGCTGTGTTCTCTAGTGTAAATTAGGGTCTGTGATGACACAATATCACGGAGAGTGGAATTTTTTTGTTTGCACCTTCAAGGAGTATTTATTGAGCACTTCTAAACTCTATGCTGGGTGCGAAAGGTCCTAACGAGAAACAGGCTCTGTGTGTGTTTATGTGTGTGAAAGAGAGAATTTCTTTCAAGTTGAAACTTGCCTTTCCTTGGTTTCTACCCCTTCCCCATCATCCTTGAATATTCTCGTCTTACATATGAAGAAATTGAAGCCCAGAGTCACTTGCCCTAGTGCTCAAAATGGCAAGTTGCAGAACCTAGATCTGTCTGACCTTCCTAGGGTTAAAATATGACAGGAAAAAAAAATAAGTTGTAATAAAAAAGGGCTGAACTCTTCCTTTTTATACATGATGTATAAATCATTTATATAGTGGTAGTGGTGACTTAACTGGTTGTACCAGCCTGTCTGTCTTTTCATCTCTTTCCTTCCCTTCCTCTCATCTAAAGGCTCTTTATTTGGGAAAACTGTGGCCATAGAAAAGGGTTTAATTGAGGAACAAGATATGTTGATAGAAGTCCATAATGGTAGATGTTTCATTCTATGCAGCCAACAAAGCTCCTCTGCCATGTCACCATATTGACAAATAAAGCATTTTGCAGCTTAGCTAGACGTTTGGGCATTACTTCCATATATTTGAACCAAATAGTTGCATAAAAGCTCAGTCATGGGCTTCCCTGGTGGCGCAGTGGTTGAGAGTCTGCCTGCCGATGCAGGGGACCCGGGTTCGTGCCCCGGTCCGGGAAGATCCCACATGCCACGGAGCGGCTGGGCCCGTGAGCCATGGCCGCTGAGCCTGCGCGTCCGGAGCCTGTGCTCCGCAACGGGAGAGGCCACAACAGTGAGAGGCCACAACAGTGAGAGGCCCGCGTACCACAAAAAAAAAAAAAAGCTCAGCCATATATTCATACAACAAATATTTACCGAGACCTATCCTACGCTAAACTCTGTGGTAGGACTCCAGTATATTGTTAGGAACAAGACAGCCTTCTGCAGAGTTATGCCACGGAGAAGTTATTCCTTGAGGCAGTGGTAATGAGGACCACAGTCACTGCTTTTCATAAGTACGTGTGAAGTAGGGGCTCTCACTTTGTCAGGCTCTGCGACAATAGCAAGAGGAGGTTCTCTGCAGGCAATGTTGCAGGTCTGTCCTTTGAGTTCCATCAGCCTTCCTGCTCTAATATCATTCTTTAAACCTCACACAAAAGCGTAGGCACATCAAGTGAGGACCACCCACAGCCTTGCTCCCCTGCAACCTCCTTAAGTTAATTACTTGTTTTCTATGTTTACACCCAGACCCTTATCATTGTGGTAGACACAAGTATGAGTCGAATGATTAGCTAAAATCCCCAAAGACTCCATTAGAAAGTCACAATAAAACTGAAAAATGGTCTGGTTCCTCCTGTGCTACCATTTACTGCAGGTGCCTTGAGTGTTTTTTTTGGTCTTTGTTTTTTCCGCTAAGAACAATAATACATCTTTGGGTCCTTCATAGTTTTCTTTTCACTGATGTTTTAAACAAAGAGACAACACAATCAAACACTAGTAACACTTTTAAAACTCCACTGTTTTCAAGGTATTTTACTATGGCATATGCATTCTTATTTAGATAGTGATTACTTATAAATATACATAATATAATTTAATTTTTAAAATTTACTCTTTAAAAATATAGAAAGACAGTTATTGTCATGACTCTACAGATGAGAAAACTGAAGCTCATAGTTTTTAAGTTCCTTGTCTAAACTCATACAGTTCTGTTTGTCTCCACTCTGCAAAGCTAGTGGTTGATAATTTTATTTGAATGTATCTTTTCATTTGCTGTCATTCTTACTTTCATGTATATACCATAGGGTATTTTCTTCTATTGTCTATTTTCCATTTTATTCTGCCTCAATTAAAAGAAAAATCAAAGAAAATCTACTTTGTTATTCTCTTAGTATGTAATATTATCTTGAAATTCATTTATAAGGATCATAACATTTTAATATTTTCCCCTCTGCTTCCATAATTGAACAAATATAGAAAATGGCCCTCTGTTTCTATTTCAATGGTCAATATGTTATTTTAATAATTCTTTTGGCTCTTTGGCTGAATTAGTTAAAACATTATGTTGAATCAATATCATGGCTGAAATCTCTAGTCAGCAATTTAAATCAATCTCTTTATTATCAGTAGAAATAATATAACCAATATTTGTATATTGACTGTTTAATATTCAGTTTAAAAGAAAAACATTTCTTGAAACATTAGGAGTAGGAAAAGTAGGAAAAGGTAAGCAATGAATGAAGTGCAGAAGGCTGGCACAGAACACCAAAGGAACAGCAAAGAAAATTAGCTAAAAAGGCTTGGTTGAGGGGAAGGTTAAAATTACTGACCTTTGAAAGAGATTCTATACAATTTCACAACCACACAGCTTTCCGTTTTCTTATACCTCCCTCCTCTATCAAAGTATCTCCAGTGTTCCAGGGTTTATGAATATTCATGAATAACAATGATAGAGAAGCCCTAGGTGAGATGCTAATATCTTTTCAGCTTTACACCAACCTTTAAAATAACCCTGTAGGATTGCATTGTTTTCAGTGAATGTTAGGATAGAAATTGAATGATGCTGATGGATGTAAGGAGATCTGCAGAAGAAATCTCCTGAGTCTAGATGTCTGTTCTTCACAGCTACAACAAAATGGGTTGTTGGCGATGTTTAAATAAACTCAATTAATGAAGCATGAGGATTGGTGCTTCTTAATCCTTTTTTGTGTAGGAGTCCTCTGAGGTCCTTATGAAAACCATGAACCCTCTCTTTCTTTCAAAACAACAAACAAAAACAAAAACATGCTTTTACATATATACCTCCTTGTTTTCAATCTCTCTTGGCTCTCTTACTCCCTGATGGACCCATGGACTTCAAATCTACAGACCCAGGGTAACAATTTCCGGTCTAGATAATTTCTAAGGCCCCTTCTGTATCCAACAGTCTATTTGTCTATGAGTTGACATAGTTGTATTCAGATTTTAACACTGCCAAGGTTTAGCCATATTACCTGGGTTAAGTTTCTTAACATCTCTGAGCCTCTGGTACTTCATTGTAATTGTAAGGATTAAAAGAAATAATGTGTGTAAAAAGCCTGACCTGTCCCCCTTCACCTCTGTGATAGAGCAAATAATGGCCCTCTTCCCAAAGATGTCCACACTCTAATCCCTGGCTCCTATAAATATGTTAAATTATAGGGCAAAAGAGACTGCAGATATAATTAAGGTAATAGGCTTTAAGACAGGGAGATTATCCTGAATTTCTGATGGGCCCAATTTAATCACTTGAGTCTTAAAAGCAAAGAATTTTTCCAGTTGGAATCAGAGAGATGCAGTGGAAGAAGATGCAGGAGAGATGGGGCAGAGGAGAGATGAGACAGATGTGGAACATGAAGACTCAACCAGCACTGGTGACTTTGAAGATGAAGAGGGAGCCATTAGCCAGGGAATGCAGGCGGCCTCTAGAAGCTGAGAACATTGGCCTATAGTCAACAAGGAAACGGGGACTTTGGTCCTATAACTAAAAAAACTGGATTCTGCCAACAACCTGAGAGGTCCTGGAAGTAGGTCCTCCCCCAGAGCCTCCAGTAAGGGTTGCAGCTCCGCCAACACCTTGATCTTGGCCTTGTGAAACCCTGAGCAGAGCCCAGCCAAGCTGCCCAGACTTTTGATCTACAGAACTGTGAGATAATAAATGTGTGTTGTCTTAAGCCACTAAGTTTGATCTAATTTGTTTTCCAGCAATAGAAAACGAATATCACCTCATTCCACTACTCCTCATTCAGCCTCCTCTCGAAGGGTCAGTTAGTTGCACACTAAGGTGAGTTTACACTGAGATGTTGCTGTTCCTAGATTTTTTGGGTTTTGACCTCAAATTATACTCACTCCTCTGCTTATAAGTGAAAGGAATTGTAGGCAGCAACAATCAGGAGCAAGAAGGTGTTCTGAAAACATGATGTTTTTTTCCTGGCATTTCTGAAATTATACCACAGAGGAAGCCACAGGTCCAGTCAGCCTTTTCACAAGCGAGACTTCATGGCTGTCTCTCAGGATCTGTCTGGATGAATTCCTTAGCAGCACCCTGCCCTCCCTACCAGAATGATACCTTTCTTTTTCCTGGACCTCCTCCAACTCTCATTTAACTGTTTTCATCAGCCTTACATTGCCTTCTCCATCTGTGCTGGTGAGGGGATTCCTCCAGGGATGTGGTCTCAGAACTCTACTTGGTTTCCACATGCGAATGATGGCTGTCGGGAAGCCAGGGAACAGCTGGATGAGGACATACAGAACCTCCAGTAAGTCATCTGCTCTGATAGAATTCCTGAGCTACCTTGGAATTCCTCAGAGCATCAGAACTGCTGAGAGCCAATGCTGCAGTAGGATTTTTATCAAGTTGCTCCTTTGAAGGGAGTGAGCTCCAGTCTTCTAAACACCCAACCTGCCTGTGTGGGTCAGTAAGGTTTACTATCCATCTGTTTCCATATGAAACCAGGTGACTTTGCCTGGACCTACAGGGGATCATACCTAGGGATGCATGTATCTGACATGAAGGATGAACCTGGTCTGGACGGTCCCACACAGCTCGGAAGTCAAGACATGAATGAGCAGACCCCAAATGAGATATGCTCCAGAGGGTCTGCATAGGGGCCCTAGGGCTCATCAAAAAATATAATCACAGGAGCACTGCTTTTAGTGGTACGATGTGAATGACCAACCATATTTACTGGAATTTTGAAATAACATGGGAAAGAGAGATTTGACATTTTCTAGAGTTTGTAGTCATTGTCAAAGGGACTCAAACCAAAGCATGGGACAGCATTTTCACTGTGTGCATTTCAGAAGATTTCCTAGATAACAGGTGCAGAGCATCTCTGTCTCATCCTCAGGGGATTGGCCTGACATTTCACGCTGGCTGCATTTCCACTGGCCTCTTTGATCCTGTTCAGTATGCCCTTGTGCTCAACGTTTCTGAGACTTGCAGCCACAGCTTCCTCTCTTCTGCCTTTCTTCCCCTTGTTACAAACAAAGCATTAGATTACCTAGATTATAAATCCCAACTTAATATATGCAACAATTTAGAATGTAATTTGCCTCTCATTAAAATGTCCTGTATGCACTTTTCTTAATGTTTACACTTTAGAAATGTGCATCAAAATTTATGTGTTGTGGACACAGCTATTTGCCTAAAGTCTATATTCAGGAACATGGGAGCAAAAGGACCCTCAGGATAGAGAAAAAGGAGAACAGAAAGCAAACTTTGGAATCAGAAATTCTGGATTTAAACCCCTGACCACCCTGCAGTAGCCCTGAGTAACTATGAAATTTCTCTTTGAGTGTCTTTAACTTTAAAATCAGGGAAAGGGGATGGGAGAGGTAAATTGGGAATTTGGGATTAACAGGTACACACTACTGTACATAAAACAGGTAAACAACAAGAACCTACTGTATAGCACAGGGAACTATATTCAATATCTTGTAATAACCTATAATGGAAAAGAATCTGAAAAAGAATAGTTATATGTATATTTATTACAACTGAATCTCTTTTCTATATACCTGAAACGTTGTAAATCAACTATACTTCGATTTAAAAAATAGTAAATAAGAAGGTGGGGGGGGGTCAGTAAACGTATTTGTTGTGAAGATTCATCTGAAATCTCTGTTCAGACAATGGCCTCCAAGCTGTCTGGACCTCTCACCCAACGCCTTTCCTGTCTTATGTTCTACCTTTCTCCCTGCTGCGCCCCCTGCTCCAGTCACACTGTTCTACTACATGTTTTTCAAAGGCACCCAGCATTCTTTCCCAAGGACATTCGCACTCTCTTCTCTCTCCCTGGAAACTTCTGTCCCCAGATAACCATGTGGTTTGCTTTCCTGTGTCCTTGGGAGAGCTGTTTAAATCAGAGACCCAGCTACATCCCAACAGCAATATCCCACTGCCACCCCTGTACCACCCAACCCTGACACTTCTGTCCCTCTTGATTACTTAATTTATATCCACAGAGCTTACCAACCCCCTGACATATTGTTTATTTTGCATATTGTTTGTGCCACCCACCCACCCCTTGTAGGGTTAGGGTTGACCATTTTGTTCACTACTTTATGTGCAGCGATTAGAAATATGCCCAAAACACTCATAAACACAAATGCTGAAAGAGTGGCTGAGGCGACTTATGTAAAGTGCTCATGTCTAGCACAAGAAGGGGCAATAAATCATAGCTAAACACGATATATCTGAGGGGTAGTTGTGGAAAAGAAAGGCTGTCTAGAGTTTTTCTTGGTGATCTAGAACTTGAACTTATTTCACTTGGTGACTTAGAATTTAAACTTTACAGCTTGGAGAGGAAGGAATATCTTGGATCTGAAGGACCTGACTTAAATCACCTTAGAAGTAGCTCTCTGTTGACCCGGTGAGCCACTCTAGGCTGGTTCTGGTATCTAAAGTGCTGATTCCTCACTGAAGAAGTCAGGAATCATATTTTAATGGACTATTCATAACAAGACAGGAAGTTGGAGGGGAAAGGGATATTTAACTCTCTGGAGAAGTGGTCCCATATAGTGGAAATGGCACGGATTTGGGCTCCACAAGATCTGGATTCAGTTGCTGATTCTACCACTTATCAACTGAGGAAATGAGCAAAATTTACTGTTCCTGAGTCTTAGGTTCTCTTCATCTTAATTGGTGGTAAGAATAGATATTATCTCACAATGTTTCTGTTTTACTTGCATGTCTCATTGATGAGAAATTGGGCCATGTATTGAAAGTGCTTTGCAAACTATTAATCACTAAACAGGGATTGGTGGTGGTGATTATTATTTAGTGGGAACGGCAGGCTCTGCAGATTCTCTTGACCTCAAAAAAAAAATGCTACTGAGTTATTTGTACAAGATTTTGACTTTGACATGTTAAGTTATATTTTGCAAGTTTCTTCCCAGTCTGCAACTTTCTTGCTTTGAGCTCTGATAGCTGTCTAGCACATTTACTTTTATATTCAGACAGTACTTTTCTTCAAGAAACTCAAGAGGCTTTGTAGACAATTATTTATTCATTCTTGCATTCTGAGAGAGAAGGAAGAAGAACATTCTTTTGAGTCTGGAAAAATGGAGAGAAGCAGGGTCAGGAAAGCCAAGACAACTTCTCATCCATGTATTGACTCACATTTCTATGGGTCTGTGGAAGGAGGGTTTTGTGCCCTCTTATCTGGCCTGCTCCTATCTCTACTAGGAGTCTAGGTCAGGATTTCATCCAAGACATGTGGGAAAGAGAGAGGGGCTCTTCCAGAATTTTTTGGTAGGACTTATAGTAGAGAGGAAGTGAGGCAGTTCAACTCCTGTTGGCCATTCCAGGGAAGACCCTGGAGTCCCACTCACATCCTGAAGGTTCATCCACACCATTGCACCAGATACCTCATAGCTAAGGTCATTTGCTTAGGTTCTTGGGTAACAAGAGGCCCACTCTAGTCTCCAGGACACTGTCAGTCAGTCCTAAGATTAGGAAAGTAAAAAGCATATCAAAGAAGCTCTTCATGAGACTGAATTGACTAAAGTCCTCATTATTCTTCATGTTGTGCAGATTTAGGCAGATTCCTACTGGGATCTTCAATGCTAAATTACCTCATCTTTCTTAAATTACAAAACTATCCTTTTAATTGTGTCTTTTTATTGGATACCGAGTTGACTGGAAGAGACTATGGAAACATCATGTTTCACACTCTCTGAGCTGGGGTGTGAAACCCAGAAACAGATTGGTGGGAAAATGCTTCCTGAAAAAGGCTCAGCAAAATCTGGCCCTTATGAGTGTGTGTGTGTGTGTGTGTGTGTGTGTGTGTGTGTGTGTGTGTGTGTGTGTGTGTGTTTTGGATTTTCTTTGACCTTGGCTTTCATATACCAAGTAGCCAGAAGCACGGGCTTTATCAAGGAACAACAGGGGTTCTATCCCTGGGAATGTCAGTGCCCTTGGATGTTATTTAAGCTCTCTGGCTGCTCTTCCCAGTCTCTGAAATGAACACACTACTGACCTTATGTAAATTATAGAACTAATCAGAGGCCATGATTTATAACCCACATGTAAGCTGCAGCCATAGTGTCCTTAAACTGTCAAATAAAATGGCCTCAAAAATCCCTATTACTTTTGGTGAGAAACTTGTTTTCTCACCTGGTCTTTCTTAGAATTCTTATATTTCTTAAATTTTCTCCTAGTCCATCTGAGTCTGAATTTCTGCTTTCACCTAACTATTTTATTTTATAGATCACCCGACCACCCCACACATGTGATTGCTTCTCTATACTATCTCATATTTTGTGAGATAGCACCCCATTTACTTCCAGAAAACCACCAACCCAAGTCTATGCACTTGTATAAGATATTCACTGAAGTCTTAAAAAAAAAAAAAAAAAAAAAAGGAAGGTTTTAAAATGGCAGCACTGCAAAATGTAACACAATTAAACAATAGATACCAGAGTTCTTAAAAGTCCTCAGGCTAATCCTTCTCCAGAAATTCCCCACTGGTCTCCACAGCCATGTTTCTCAGCCTCTATCTTACCTTCTGCAAACTCTTTCCATCTCCCTGATTGCATCAACCACAGATTACTGTTCACTTCTTGTGCACAGATGTTTAGCTATTAGTGTTGGCCTCACCTTCCTTCCCAGTATGGGTATCTACTCCAGAGAAGTGTTATACAGCTTGCCAGAAGATTAAAGTGACTACCACTAGTTACGGTTTCTAATAACAGTGTTTATATTCTACTGCATCATATTTGAAAACTCTTATGTTTTCATAAGAAAATATTCCTCAGTGAGTTCTTATTAGAGTAAAATCT